TACAAGATGACGAGGTAGACGATGGCAATGACAGGAAAAAAAAGTAAAGAAAGACTGAAGTGGTTGCAGCAGTAGTTACGAATAATAACACAATGGCATTAATGGTGCGGAAGAGCAAGCTATTGACGTTGTCGTATGTCTTTATAGCTTTCAAGAGAAATGATTAGAGATTGGTCACTCTCATAGGGTTTCAAATGTTGTTATTCTTGACTTTACTATTATTTCTAACTATACATCAACGATGACTGTATATGACTGTTGTCTAGACTATATATACACTAAACCTTCAACATGTATATGCAGTTATACGTAGTCCTATAGTCCAATTTGAATATATAATACCAGCTGCAATCGAAATTTTTCGTTTCTTTCTTTTTTTCCTTCTTCTTCTCATTTGTTCATTGAACTATATGCACTTGTATGTACATTGTCGAGCCGATTGACATTCAAGTATGAAGGAGAGAGAGAGAGAATTTCGTTTATACTTGTTCGCTCATTTTTTTCCTCTCTTTCTGCTTCCTTTTATACACATCTGTGGCAGTATATATGTATGTCCTAGAATAGAACATTTTATTTTAGTCATGGCCAATGTGTCTAGTGATCGGCAAATATGAGTATATTACTCAAATGGAAGAACAAACTCCAGGATCCATCGTTACAAGAAGTAAATTGCAATCTCTTTTTTGTCTGTTGCTTATTAATCTGTTTATATTTACCAGACGAAGATCCGTGAGTTTGACGAACGTGTGTCACTTCTCAAGAATGAGAATGTCGAATTGCACAAACGTATTGATCAGCTTGAGGCTTTGGTAAATAATATATATAATAAAAATACATTGCATCTGTATTCTTCTATAACTTCTTTTTTTCTCTCTCTCTCTCTATCAATCAATTGATAATAGTGTACAACAAGTGTCGACACTCAGCAAACACGTTTTCTCGAAGAACATATTCGCCAACTTGAACAAGAAAATGGACGATTATTTATAGAAAATAAATGTCAACGTCAAGAATATGAACGATTTTTAGAACAATTAACATCAATGGTTCTACGAACAGCAATGATGCATGAGGTAAGATAAAACAAAAAGAATGATAATGATTTAGACTTATGTCAGTCTCTTTCTTTTTATTTATCCGCAGGAAAGGTTAGCATGAAACCTATCAAAGCATTCTTTCTTAACTAAAAATAAAAGAAAGAAATCTGCGGCTAATTATAGAAAAAACTTTGATTTCATAATCCGCCTTTTGGTGATTTCCCATCTCTCAATCGTAGCTGTAAAAGTAGACTATAGCAGCATATGTCCTGAAACAATTATTCCTCTCTCTCTTTCTCTGTCTTTCTTCTCTTTTCTTTTCTTCTTTCTTGTTGTTGATGATGGTTCGTACTGTGCGGTCAGCAATCATGGATAGTAGTTACTATTTTTATTGAAGAGAGAACGGATGAACAGTGAAAGCAGATGTGACATAGTCAAAGAAGAAATCACCGGACATTGCTCCTTCTTCATTTGAACATTTTCATTTCTCTTATGAAAATGGTTAGTCGACCGACAACAACAACGTCAGAGACTTTCATTGTAAGTAAACGAACTTTACGCTTCCTTGAATTTCACTAATCGATGAAAGGTAGTTCAATATTGACAGTTCTAAGTTCATAATAGAATAAATTGAAAAGAAAAAAGAAATTAAGGTAATGTCAAATTTCATTAACACAATACGAAACGACGCACTTCCAGATGGTATTCTTCGAGATGGTTCAATGATCATTCCACTCAAAATGTCTGTCTGCCTATCCTATCTATCTTTTCTTGTCAGTCGATTTCCTTCCATAAACTATACTATGTCAATGGGTCAACATACGACTCAGATTACCGTCTGTATATAGACAGGTCATAGCATCTTTCTTTGAATAAATAATCAAGCACATTACAATATAGCTGATGGTCAAATTCAATGTTACATTTCCTTAAGGGGATTTCTCTCATTTTTTTCTTATTATCAGTTCACCTCTTCTAATGACCTTCATTCTTGATGACGATGGACTTTATATAGTAGGCACAGCTCAAAGCACACATACGGGAGTGACACACGCATCTAATATTATATTTAAGTGAGGAGGGGCGAGTGAACATATACATTTATGACGCAACTCTTTCATTCATTTCACACACACATACATACATACACACACAAATGATGCATCTATACAAAAGTAGAAAAATGAATACAAAAGAGCAACTATGATGATTTGATGATCTTATCTATTGATTGCAAAGAAATATTTATTTATTTAGAATATTCGTAAAGAATGTGCATCAATATATCATGTTATCGAACGACTATCAACATTAACTGCAAGTGCAATTCAAGACGAACGTTCACATCAAGTAATAACAATAATAATCATATATGACATAAAGATTTTTTTTGAAGTTTCATCGTTTTTTTCCTTCTTCTTCTTCCAAATATTTCTTTCTTATTAGATTGAACATCGAATAAAACATTTAAGAAGTTTATCTTGGGAAAATTTAAATCATTCGTGTGAACTTATTTCTAATTATCAATTCGTATCCACATCTCCTAAAACTACAGCTGAATTTATTCGACATTTATATCAAAATCGATCATCATTATCACCTTCAACATCTTCATCATCTTCCTGTTCATCAACAACTACTCATTGTTCATTTTCAACATCGGGCAGTTGGACACTCGATCTCGTAAGTTAATCTTAGCCTCTATTTTGATCTAAACTTCTAGTAAAAATGTTTTATTAACATAAATGACATCCGTCCGTTTTTTGTCTGACATTATTTATTATGCAACTTCATCGTTTCGAACAAATACTATTTTAATAGATACTCTCTATAGCTTCGGGTTAAATTCATCGTTAACGGAAACAGAAATAATTGTCTACTTTCTTTTTATTTATTATTTTGAAAAGAATATCGAAAAAAATATTCATTTATTTATTTTATAGCCATTGTACAATAAAAATACAAACGTTCAATCATCCATACTTCCAATTTCAAATGAATCAAAAGGTTAAATTTTTTTATAAATAAAATTTCATCATATAATATGTTAATTATATTTTATAGAATTACAATCGATAAAAAAAGACGATAAAAAAGAAGAAGGAGAAGAAGTAGAGCAACAACATCATAAAAAAGCTCTTCATCGTTCAGAAACATTTATAGTTACAAAGATACCGCAAAAAGAATTATCTTCAGCTTCGTCTAACATAAAAACAATGACAGTTAATGAACGTAATCTAAATTCAAATGTTCAACGTTGTTCTTTAACACGATCAGTAGCTGCTACAACAACAACGACAACTGTTGTCCGACCTTCACGACTTCCATCGCGTTGTTCAAATAATCGGCATACAACAAGCTTAACTAATCCGTCAAATCTAAAAACTCAATCATCAAATGATAATAATCGTTCTTTATCTCTAAAAAAAGCTTCAAAATTACCAATTCGAACAGCGACATCGTTAACAAAGCAAGCAACACCTGTAAAAAAATCTAATGTTCCAACATCTGTTACAACAAAGACAAAAAAAGACTTAACTGTTATATCAACTCGAGCTGTTGCATCAATTACTAATACAACGACAAAAAAGACTATTCGTCCGCCGATGACTTCAAAATCATCTATTGTACAAACTTCTTCAGCAAAATGTCGTTCTCGTTCAATCACAACAGTTAATACTACTACTAGTACTAAGACGAATACTTCTATTCCATCATTAGTAAATAAACGGACACGAACAACACCTCCTACTGTAAAAAAAAGTGCACTAGAAACAGTTATACCATCAAAGAAATTAGTTAAATCAATTGAAGAAAAACCAATTTGTCCAATTGAACAAATGAATTCAACATCAAGTGAATCAAGTATTGAAGAAAATCAACAAAGAAATAAATTAATAACTATTGTTCAAGATGAAGGTTATTCAACATGGTCATCAACTGATGTCAAAGATGAAACAGTATTAAATGATTTAAAGAAAAATGAAACTGATGAACGACAACGAAGTACTGGAATTGTGAAAAATTGGCTTGATACATCAAATAAGCGATGTTCAAGAAAACCGGTGAAAGAAGGTATGATCAAAAAAGATTAGTTGAAAGAAAGACTTTTTTGTAATTTCTATCATATATTTAGTTAAAACTGATAAACTTGAAGAATTTAGTCGAGAGTTATCTGATGGCTCATCAATTATTTGTCCATTTGTACGTAATCGTTGTTCAAATGGTATAATCATTCCTCTTGCATCAACAACATTATCAACATCATTACCAGCACCATCATCAACAATTCTTCCAATTAAAGATATTTCACTTGATAGTCTTGATGATGCTGCGAATTCTCTAGTGAAAGAACAAACTATAGTACCATCTGCCTCATCATCCTCTTCATCATCATCGTCGTCGTCTTCGACATTTTCTCGTTCAGAAACATTTGAAAAAATTCTAAATAAACATTCATTACCTATAATATTAGATGATCTTCCTGATTCAACTGATTCAACATGTTCAGATGTGAATCCATCATTTAATATGTCAGAATATATTGAAGATAATTTTCTTGATCAAGATATTAATTCCAATGAACATTCTTTAATACTTAATTCAACAATAAAAAATCAAATTGAAACAATGAAACCACAAAAACGTCTGATGTTTCCTGGTTTAATAAATCGTTTAATTTTTCTTCGTCGTGTTTTATCTGATTCAGATCTACAGCAAAAATTATGTTGTATTGCTGAAAATGAAATACAATTTCATGTATATCATACAAATACAATTAATGAACATTCAATTGAGCTTAATTTACTAAATACATATGGTTCAGAATCTGAATTACATGTATGGTCACATGATTGTGCTGAACAACGAAGATTTGTTGATGAAAGACAAAAACAATTCTTATTAACATCAAAACAATCACAAGCAAAATTATCTCATATTGAAAGAATGGTATAAAAAGAAATTAACAGAAGAGAAATATATTTTGATTGTGTTTTTTGTTTTATAGATACGAATGACTTTTGATGATAATGAAGAAGATGAAACAAATTTATTTGATTTAGATAGTGAAGAATATGATCACCAATTAGCAGTTGAACGTCAAAGATTACTTCAACAAATCTATGAATATCCATGGTTATTACAAGAAGATGATATCGATCAAGCAACGATATATTCATCACCAACGAGTGAACAACCATTATTATCACCTTCACCAGATTTAGTTGTTCCATCACATAATCCAGATTTTTATCAATTATGTGCATTAACAAATAGTAGTTCATTTGCAACATCTTATGGAACAAATTCTAGACATACAACACCACCCATAGCTTCATCTGTTTTATAACAACTTCGTTTTTTTCTTCTTTCTCCTTTTTGTTTTTTTTTCTCATTGAGTGTATACAATGCTTTCTTTTCTTTTAATAAAAAACAAATAGAAGAATAGATTTGTCTATTTTATTCACGCTTTACGAAGTGCTTGTTTGAGACGTGGTGGATCAATCCATGTATGTCCTCGAAAATCTAAGTATTTTTCTTCTTCTTCATCGAGTTTTGGAGGTGAACGAACTTGCATATGAGTACCTTCAACATGTAGATTAGCTGAAGGTGAAGCAAGTGTCTGTAAAAATGAATTCTTTATAATAATTTACCAACAATTTTTGTCTATCTACTTACAGAATTATCATCAATAGTTGATAATCGTGGTGTATTCTTATCTAATTCATCTAGATTATAAAATTTTCATAAATTAAATCTGTTATTTAATCAAACTTACTTAGTAATTCTTCAAAAGTTTTATCACCAGTATCACTACGTATCGTCAATTGACCTAAATCAACAGCGAGTATACAATTATTTCCAATATCTGTTGAAATATCATCTGTGAATAAATCTGTTACAAATGTATTTCTATATAAAATAAAAACAAAGAAGTTTTCAAAAAAATCTTAATATATCGATCATACTTAAAAGTAGTTGTATCGGCAACATGAGCTGCAGCAAGTTTTTCACTAATAATAACATTTGTTTGTTCTAATGCACGAACTTGTTCTTCCAATTCACTAGCTCTTCGTTCCTGAAGACTGATCTTATAATTTAAATAAACAAAAAAGCATATTACAATAATTGAAAAGAATTTTTTCAAATTACTTCATGAGTCATATATTGATTTTCACTTAACATTTTTTTTGTAAATTGATCAAGACCTAATGCAACACGTTCAGTAGCTGTTCGAGTTTTTTGATTAATTTTATTTTGTGCCATTTGTGTTAATGCTGTTTGTTCATCATTTTTACTTTCTTCTAAATATTCTACAAAAAAAAACTTTTTTACATATAATTTCTATATTGAATATTAATAGAAAAAATTACTTGAAAGAACATCATAATTATCGACCATATAAGCAAGTTCCTGTTCAAGTGATTGAATAGCTCGTTGTTCTTCAATTTGTGTTACATCACGATATTTTGTCAATTGTTTTATTTGACTTCGAACTTTAAATATTTCAATTTCAACATGAAACATTTCATCATGAATTTCTTTTTGAGATAAAAATAAAGAACAAAATTAACATATTATTTTAAATAAGAAATATTTACTTCTCAATTCAGCTTCTTGTTCTGCAGCTGCATTCATTTTTTCATGTACAGCTGCATGAACCTGAAGATAAAGAAAAAAATTATCATTTTATAAGACAAAAAAATATAATATTTACTTCTTCTCTATCAACTTTTGGATAAGTAATATTCTCTTTATCAAATTGTAAAGCATTAGTGACAAGATGTTTCATTGATGCTGCGCATTCATCTCGTAGATGTGCATCTCGTCCTAATAATGCTTCGTTTTCTTCTTCAATTTTATATACACGAAAACGCCATTCTTCAAGTTCTTTATCTATGACTGTTATTCTTCAAAAAATAATATAAATTAAAAAAGATATTTAGTTTTAATAAACTAGACAAACTTGTATTCAAGTAAAGCTTCGTAGACATTTTCACCAGCTTTCTTCTTCTTCTTACCACCTCCTCCTTTCTTCTTTTTCTTGTCAGCCATGACTACTCTTTTTGTCTTCTAGTTTGACAAAATTATGATTGAAGTCTTTCTTAATCGTTCGGATGAAGAAAAGAAAAAAAAACGACATTTCTTTGTGTCGCATGCTCACATGTTAAAAAAAGCAGACATGCTGCCACACAAAATCCAAGGCAATTCCTCCTTAAATAATAATTAAGTGGCGCCATTATGATTTCAAAGAATAAATCCGACCAAAGAATTTTTACGAAATAAAATAATGAATATTAAAAATTGATAAACGCAACAATCATAAATAATAATCAAAGAAAAGAGATCAAATATATATATAGAATATACAAATACTTCTCACGAAATTTTTTCGAGTATAGTGAATAGTAATATTAGAAAACAAAAATCGCTAGTTCAATCAATCTAATAAATCCACTGTTATGCTGACTTATTGTTAGTAGAAAAAATTTTTCTAACGATCTTCATGAATTCTTTATTTAATCTGTATGACTGGTACACCCTAAAATAAAGTCAATCTCATTTCAATTGTCCAACTAAAACATTAAAAGTACATATTGACTGTTTAGTTATTTTACTCTCTCTCTCTCTCTCTTTTTATTCTTCTTCAAATTATTGACAGACATCATTCATTTAATACATTATTCTGTATAAGGATTATATAAAATACAATGTTTTTCGTCTTTATTCTAATGTATTTAAGAACATCATCAGCTCTTCTTCTTTCAACACGAGATCGTGTTTCTACTCGTAATATAACATGTCAAAATGGTTCATCATCATCAAATTTATTATTTAATTGTGAAGTATGTCTTGTTATTTCACGCAATTATGAAATTAGAACAACACTTTCATTAACTGGTTCTGGTCCATTAGGTGTAACTTATGCATGTTTACAAGTCAATCAAATTGAAGCCTATCATGAAAACCTTGTTCGAGAATGCAATAATTTTCCACAAGGTACACTCAATGGTTACGATGATTTTTGTGTTGCTTCACCATATAATAAACTACGTGGTTCATATCGAGCATGTATGTGTATTACAAATGCATGCAATTTAAATTATTCCGAATGTGTCCAACGTACTAAACCCTATTGGGATCAAAAACCACCAACATTTAGTAATAGTATTGTTTCATTAACAAATCGAATCAAATGCTATCGACCTTATGAAGATTATAAACCACAGCAATATTCTAGTTTAACACCACTATGTTCGTCAAATGATTATGAATGTAAAGACTTTTTATTTGATCAGGGTGTTTTATGTGTAATTAGTGTTGATCGAACTAATCAAATAACACGACAAACTTTACCACCATCAATTTATTCGGCACATTTAATGAAATATAAATCCACATTTTGTAAGTCATATACATGGACATCAAAAAGTATCTATTTTACACAATGTCAACAAGATGAAACAATATGTATGTGTGCTGTTGATGGATGTGATAAAGATTTAGAAACATGTCGAAAAAGTAGAGCAACATCTATTTGTCATTATTCATTCTTTTATTTTCTTTTACTTATACTAAATATTTACTTTTAAAATAATAGAATAACATATTATTTTTTTAAATTAATCCGACAAGGATTTGTAAATCTAACTATTCTATACAAAATTCAAATCAAATTTGTCGTTAAAATGTTTTTGAAGATAAATTTACTTAGTGACATTACGAACACTTCCCTTCTTTCGATCAGAGAATGGTATTTTTATGATTAATTATATAAACGAAAGTTTTTATACCTTGTTTCTTCAATCAAGATATTAATAATATCTATACGTCGCTAAAACTGTTATCACTTTGGAGAACAGTGTCTTACTTTCGTGAGTACTTATCGGATTCAATCTTATAATTTCTAGCTCAATTAACTATTTTACATTACTTGTCTTATAATTCTCACCTAATACCATTTATTCTATCTGCAACTCAATATTTTTGTTTTATATCTACAAAGATCTATTTTACCTATTCAATATTTCATGTCACTATGTGCTTACTCGTCCTTCATCCTCTTCACACAATTTTTCATAGTCCAGAATATGCATCTATATATATCAGCTTGTACGAACATGATACGACGATGGAAAAAGAAGAAAAACTTGAGAGTAATATGGTTGTTCTTTTCTGTTTGACAAATATCTCTAATATTAAAAGGTACATTCCATGAAGGTCTAGTATTCAACTGAGAAAAAGATTTCCGAAATAGTAATGTTTTGTTTTGATCGGAGACTGCTTTAGTCATCCATGTAACACGATAATTCGAGTTTTTTAATTAAATTTTTTCTATGCAATTGTTTGGTATAAATAGAGTTATGAAGAAACAAGGTTTTATTATTATTTTAAAGGTCATGTGCAAAGGTATATGTTATCATGGTCTTCGTTAGTAGAAGCTGATCTAAATTTATAACAAACTGCTTCAATATGTGAAATATGTTAGTGACATGGATTAGATAGAGAATCCACATCATTCTTCATCATTTGTAAACGAAACTTGTGTTTATAATTAATAAATATAATTAAACGTACGTGTTAACGAAGATAAACAAGTTTTTGATACACTTCAAAGTGCGTTTTGCTCAATGACATCAGACAACTTTGACAATCATGACTAAAAATTCTTGTTTTTGAGGTTACATGTTATGCGTACAAACTGATATATGATTCAATAGGACAACTTAAGTACAACAATTGTCTAGCATCACTTCGATATCGAGTGATAAAAAAAGTATACGAATAGTTTAGGCAATTATTAAGATATGTTTTGATAACATGTCATCTTTCGTATAAAACTTTGCATATAGGAGTATATATATCTCTGTATTTATATACAAAAAAAAATCAAAAACAAACAAAGGGCAAAAATAGTAGGAAGTACAAAGAAAAATGTTTCGTATAAAAACAAATTCTTTAAAGTCATTCATTATAATCTTGACTAAGATATTTATGAACTTTTAGCATTATTAGCACCTGCTGATTTCTTTTCTCCACTCGACTTAGTCGTTGTCTTTTTTGATGATGTGCTTGTTTCACCTTGCGCTGTTGTTGCATTACCACCTTCTGATTTCTTTGGTAATAACATCTATAAAAACAAATCTAGTTTGAAAATAATTTCTCTAAGATTTATTTACTTGTTGAATATTGGGTAATACACCACCTTGTGCAATAGTTACACCCGCTAATAATTTATTAAGTTCTTCATCATTTCGAATAGCTAATTGAAGATGACGTGGAATAATACGAGTCTTTTTATTATCTCGAGCTGCATTACCAGCTAATTCCAAAATTTCAGCAGAAAGA